GGTCAAGTAAGGTCAAACAACGCCAAACTCCAGGTTCGTCTCCAACGTGTCCCCAGAACCTAGATACCTACTCTAAGCCAACGTTCACATGGTCTTTTGAGGTCAGTGATCTTGCTGATCTTTACAAGGTCATAGTGACCAAAATCATGCAACACCGCCTTGGGTTTTGCATTTGAATAGGCGACAAAGATAACGCTAAGCAGTATGTTCCTAAAAACAAGATGTTGACCTCGGCTATTTTAGGTCAGTGGCCTATTCTGACTTTTAACAGGTTTATGGAGGGTGTATAATTTGGTTTCTCTTGCCAATAAATTTGAAATGTGCACCAGAAACTGCCTCATACAGCAAGCCGAAGAGTGATAAAATACGCTGTTTTTTACCTGGATCTGATATTCACACTTGACCCCAGGTCAATGAAATTATTTAATTCAAGTGCTGTGCCACTACTAAGCTGTAATTGTTGTGCTGCTGCTTCAATTGTTGTGCTGCTAAGAAAGTATCTCAGAGATGTATGCCTCCGTCTAACAACTTGTTGTTGCATCAGATCGACCAATTCCTTAGAAATTGACTTAGCTGAATCCATAGCCTAACTTTGACCCGCCGTAGGTCATCGGGTACCATTCTGGAAAAAGCTTCGGGGATCAAATTGACCCCCAAACGAGCGCGTGTTAAACTCTAAATCATGGAAACATCTCAGGAAAGCTTACATCCAAACTTTGCTGGATTGAATATATAGCGAAGCAAGTTAAATTAGGACAAGAGATAGTGCCTGCAGTAACATTGTGCAGCAATGCTTGAGGTATCTACACGACATTTCTGAAACGTCAGATTATCCGTGAGTTCAAGAAGTTCACTCGTATCACATACTCGGTTATGCTGTTTTTTTTTAATTATTCGATTACAAGTCTTATTTCCGTAAAAAGCTAGCAATTCTGTCCAACTTAATACGTTAGATAACAAAATACAATCAACCATATGACTAATCGCGATTGAGACTTGCACCGATCGCTCAATATTGATGGAGAGCCAATTAGCGTCCATGATATTTGGATGTCGTGCTCAATGGACACCAGATCTGAACGACCGGACGATAATATGGCATTGAACGCCGGATGGTCTATGAGGTGACAGGATTTAAATGGCGTTCCTGTGGTGTTATGTACGCCTGACTGGCTTTGAAACAGTCTGCACATCTTCGCGGGCGTCTAGCCCAGAAGGTTTTAGGTCTTAACTTGGGCAGGGCTGTGAACTGCACCGAATGATCGTGAGGATAGCTCTTTCAGTTCAAAACCCCATCCAAATGTGGAACACTCTCTTTAAAAGCAAACAGTGATCTGCATTTAGTGAGGTACGCTATTAGAACGGCAGGTTCGTTGAGAGAATGTGAGGCTACACTTCGGCAGCTCCAGATGCCCCGCGTGCGAGGCACGGGTACGAGGTACGGGTGGCACGACTGAAGACCTCCGACCTTGCCACGAAGATGGCGCGTCCTACCCCAGGCCCTAATTCATTGTGTGTGGCCTTCCACACTTATGCGTGACGTAACGCTCCTCAGGCCTGCGCCCAATCTGATTCTCTTCTCAAATATGTTCGTCATTTTTGTGCCTCTTCCACAAAAATGTCGCCAAATTTAGAAGTTTTTGGATATGGTAAAACTCGCTCTGAATGCGCCCGCTCAGACCGAAAAATAACACATGTGGAGAAAAACATGAGTTTCGAAAGCGGTCTCAGCGTGTCCTTGGTGAAATGATACCTATGTCGGCAAATAGAAATAAAGAGTGCACTGCACTCCTTGACGACCTGACTGATGCCAACATCCCAGGACTTGGCAGGGTCGATGACGACTCCCAGCAGCCGGACCGAGCGGGAGGGTGACAAGGTGAACTGGGAAATAGCCAAATGGAAGTATCTTGTCTTGTATGTTTTAGGCGCTTCCACCGAGGATGCAGTCCGTCTTCGTGGAGTTCGTCTCCACAACCTTGAGCAAGTTTGACCAGAACCCGCGCTCTAGGCTAGCCCCGTGCCCTGGATCGACAGCGGAGAGTCGCCCGTTCTGGTTCGGTCCAGCAGCTGAGTGTCGCCTCGGCGTGTGCCGCCACGGACGGGCAGTCAGGTGTCACACAGGTCATTTGTCGGGAGACTGAACAAGACCGGCGCGGCTATTGAGCTCTGGGGGATAGATACCGCGAGTGCCGACCAGGGGAGCCTGATTATCACCTCTTGTCACCTGGAGACGCCCACTGAGAGCGCTTTTAACCCACTAGGGGTCGTTTCCATACCTTCCCAGCTTGTGGAGGAGCACGCCGTGGTCGACGCTATCGACACGGTCGATTAGTGGGTAACCATTAGCGTGCATTTAGTATTGGTCTTGCCACAGAGCACATCAGGCGCGAAAAATGATGTTGGTTGTCGTAGCGGTCTAGGCTTCTAGCAAATTAAGGTTGCTTTGTGCCAATGCAAACACAGCGTTTATCACGTCTCTGTATGGGGTTCGTTCACATGAGTTGATGCACACACTCATCAGCCCTTTTCACGCTATAGCATCAGCAGATAGGACATAAGTTGATGCTAAATATAAATGAACGTCAACTATGGACACCAAAAGCGCAACCCATCTTGCGCTGCCTGATCTAACAAAACAACCGGCAGTTTGTGCTACACGATTGTGTTTGCTTCGGCATCGTTCCTATTTTGTACTATTCTTCATTTCACGCTTGCAGCTTTAGTTCCATGGGACCAAATCACATAGCACCGCGAATGTATAGTGACCAGTATGTACATGATGACGACACAAAAACGCCTCCTGAGCAGAAGTTACTGGATATTTTGACAGATTTTATGGCATTCGATGCGTTTTACTCATGTTTACCTCATTTTTGTTTATTTTGAATCTGGTACCACAGTAAGTCGCTGTCTAATAATCCTAAAGTAAAAAATGCTATCATCATGCTGAATACGTATGTCATTGCATATTCCGCTACGTGCCCTGCCGTTGTATCATACCTCTACACACAGGTAACGGCATGGCCTCACATGCATATTAGCCCGCTAGCCATTTATTGTTACCTATTGGTGCGTGAAAGGTGAATTAACAGACAATAAAGAACAGGAAAAAACATAATGCAAAAGGTGTCGACGTCAGCACCATTACACTCCGATCAATGTCCATATTTTGCCGTTGGCTATGACACATACCCAGCGGCAAACGGAAAACGTCAGCTGTCCTGCGCCGAGTTCGGCACACCATACGGCATATGGTATGCCACACCATATGGCATACGGCATACCAGATCATACGGCAAATATGCGCCGGGCCCGGCCGATAGCGGGCGACGCACTGGCCAAACAGATACGTGCTGATACATGTCGCGTAATTGCCCTTGGCGCCCTCCGGGACCGAGGCGTTGTCTTCGGGCCAAACAGTGATCAGGAACGCCCGTATGGGGAGCCCCGGTCGACCTGAACGGCCGTGGCCGCATTTCCAGCCTTTGCCGGGGTTATTTCGGCAGAGTGCGTGCTGCTGGAAAATATTCGTGCAATATGTTTTTTCAGCCTTGTTTAGAAGGTAGCATATCTAAAAATGTGACGTCAAAATGCAAAACGCTGTTCGACCGTTTGTGAAGGTCTTGTGGGTTATCTGGGAGTAAGAACTAATTGCAGCATCACGAGTTACAGGGCAATGGGAGCATGGGGCTATGTAACGGGCCAACTAACAACAAATTGGGCCCTTTAGATGGATATTGAGTGTCAACATCCAAGAAACGCCTAAAAGATCTTACAAGAATACACGCGGCTCTCATCCTTTTTACTCCACTAATGTCATCCACAAATCTTCTTCACAAAAGCTTCCCAAACATCACAAAGCTTCTCAAACACAAAGAGGATGTCTGTGGCGGGAAAGGACCACTAAATGCACCTTACATGCGACAGCATATGCTATGGTGGAAAAGCTTTAACGGGCATCTTAAGTGTTGTGGATACAGTATCTTAAAAAGAGCTCGTTTTTCAGATATGCTGACGACATGAATTTTTACACATCCATTTTCTGAAGCAGATGTTTGGCTGAAGACGCCCTTTAAATTAGTCCCCCTATTAACAGAACGCTTATATTTCAACATACTATAGGCAGCATATGTCCCGGTGGGCCAGAGCTCATGAGGAGCCATATTTAACAGTGCTGCAGCATTTGAGAGTTCCAGTGCGGTCCGCTGAATGGCCGTGCCCTGCCGGTCAAGGTCAATACAGGGCCACCGCTGGAGACTGCGTCTAACGGAAGGCGGGTCCGCGTGATAGGGTGCCCCTGAAGTCTCCAAAGGGTGCGGTGCTCACAGTGGACACGTCAGTGCCAGCATCTTCTCAGAGCATGAGACAAGTTGTCAGTTCACATCGTTCCTGCATGACGGCTCGGCCATGCTGGCACATGGGTAGGTGCGTCCTTTGATGACTGGAGCCCACCATATGTCCATAGCTTTGACACAATTGGCCAAGAATGGTGCAAACTTTTTATTTATTGTGACACAAACTAATATCAACCGACCCTAAGTGCCTGGGCTTTTCACTGGCAGGCCGTCTGGTCACGGACTAGATTGCAATCGGTGAGGAAACCAAATTACTCATGCACAAAAAAGTGTTTGAACAGTCCGGCCTTCTCGATTTTGAGAAAAAAACGTGTAGCAACAAAGCTGCAAGAGGCTTTGGCTTAGGCCTCGCCTCTCTTCCAATGGTTGACAACGACAGAAAAACTGGATCGACATCAAAATGGAACCATATGGAGCGACTTGAAGTTCAAGCCCGACTGAAGCAGCCGCGAGAGACTTGAACATAAAGACACCCGTGCCATGCGCTCCACACCACACACCGGACCCCGCCCAGGCCTCCTCGGCCAAAGCACAGCAGTGCCCTCCAAAGACAGGCCGCGCCGCCCGACCGCGTCCAGCCCCCAGCGCCTCGTCCCGGGCCACCGGCCGGTGCCCCGCTCCGCCCGAGGGCGGCGCTCTCACCGATGAAGTCCAGCGGGAGGGCGGGTGCGGGTGCCAGGAGCAGCACGACCAGAGCGCAGAGCCATGTCGCGCCGCGCCTCATGGCCGGACCGCGCGGGCATGGTCGTCAGGACATGTCACCTAGCCGGCGTCGAGTGGCGCCGGCGCGGCCGCGCCGCGCGCCGCCCCGCCACCTGCTGGCCCGGATGATGACGTCACGGGATCAATTGGAGGCGCATCGATTCGACGACTTGTTGCACACGGCGTGCCTGGAACGGCAGGCGCCGCGGCCTCTGGAACGGCAGGCGCCGCGACTTCTGGAACGGCAGGCACTGTATACCTTTGATAACGACAGAGAAGGCCTCTAAAACGGCCGGCGCCGCGGCCTCTGGAACGGCCGGAACCGCATGCCATCTGGAACGACCGGTGCCAAGGTCCCCGGATCAGACGGCGCTGAATGGCCAGTGGAGCGGCCGGCTGGTGCTCTGGAACATCCGGCGCCGCGGCCTCTGAAGTGACCGGCGTTGCAGCCTTTGGGACCACCAACAGGGTCTTTGAAATTGTTGGTGCGATCTCCGGAATTCCGCACCCGAAGGGACCTTTGGGCGGAACGCCCGGGGTCAAGTTCCATTTCTAAAAGGCTGATTGGACGCGCCGCGCCAGTTTCGATGTTGAGATGTCCTCGACGCCTTGTATGCTTGGAATGGACACCACGCCATTATACAGGAGCACTGAACTGAACACTATGCCCATGCACGGGAACACTGGACAAGACACCATGCCCATACACAGGGGCGTCACTTTCGAACGTCACGAACATTCCAGTCAAAATGTGTCTCACGTCCCGTTGCCGAATACGTGGTACCGTGATATGGGCTGCCCGAAACACAGACGGATAAACCCGAAGGTTTCCATGACGCGCGCCGAGGAAAGGCATAGAAAAAACTTGCCGTCGGGCGCCAGCGTTCATCACAGCGGCTAGAGAAGTCTAATTAAACTTGAATAACACAAAAAGCATGTCAAGCTCCTCAAAAGCTAAGCGTCAAAGCGCCAAAGTCTCAAGGTGTCGTTTGAATGTTCAGCCTCGGTGGAACACTACAGCTGTGCAACAGCCTTTTGCTTTTCCTAAGATTTTTCTTGTTATTCTTGTTATTTGTTGCGTCGTGCTTCATTGCCGCGTTTCAGATCAACTTGTGTCTCCATAGTGGTGTGTACGCTTCCCGTGAACGTGCCTTTACAAAATGTACGTAAAACTGGTCACGAGCACTGCATTTTGTTTTACCTCCACACAATGGTCATGGGCATAAGTTACAAGATGTCTCATTTATCGCTCTTTCGTGTTCACTTTTTCAGCCGATTGACAGGTGTCTGGCAAACTCTTCTCTCAGCTAGACACGTTGCAACACCCAGGGCTGAGAGAGCTGCTATGAACTTAACGCTCGCACCGCTAGCCCATGCTACCCTAAGGGCGTGCATATATAAATATTTTGATTATGGTATTTTTGGTATTCGCTGGTATTCGCCAGTTTGCATAGCTTGCGATCTATAAACTGGGGCTTCATAACTAGACTATTTGTTTATTTTATCTGTCCATAAAGTTGAAGTGAGCCTAAGGCATTGTTTAATAGGGGCGTGGTCATTATTTTACAATAAGGGAGCGTCATTCCAAACTGAAAACCATATTAAGTGCGCCGCTGGTGCGCGCAGGTTCTTGTGTGGCATAAGAAATTATCGCATGTTTTCGATCTTTTTTTGTTTTTCCCTATGTGAACGAAATTTTCAGCTGTCAAAAGTACCTCCTGTTTTTAAAATGAGGCCATACCGCACAAGCGGCTGACTTCACTCGGTGGTATCCACTCTCACGGAAAAGGTGAAACATCTTAGTACGACTACGCTCACACGAATGGGGAGCAGAAAACGCGCCCACTGTCTTCCGCATTCATGGTACAAAGCTGCTCTCTTAGTTGGTATGGACGCGTGCCAAATGATGATACTGTCCGACGACGGCCTGGCTTAAGGTGCAGTTGTGTGACATATCTTCCATCTGATGGCAACACAAAAAATGTCGAGAAATAGGACTGGCGCATTTTGCGGGGTGTGTTCCAGAGTGAAATGAATATTGGCGTGGTTTTAAATGATTTCTATGATGGAAGCTGACCATGTATACAGCTTCAAAACGTTGGCTTTTCTCAAAACCACCATTGCTTGCTTGATATCGCCGTTTAAGGGGAATTTTCTACATTTATGTAAGGTTTTGAACCGAAATGAAGATCTTGAAATGAAGATCCGAAATGAAGTCTTGAAGATCACTCGGTGCAGTTCATAGCCCTGTCCTTCTTGAGACCCAAACCCCTCTAGCTTCTGAGCTACACTCTTGCGAAGATGGCGAGACCTATGGGGAGAGTATTTCAAGGTCACCTTGGCATCAATGACGTTATAATAATGTCATTTAAATCCTGCCACCCAGTAAACCATGCGGCAATCAAGGTGAAAAAGGTATAAGGGTCGAGTTGTTCATGTCTGGCATTCATAAGCACGATTTCGAGATATAACGGCCGTCAGTTGGCCCTCAATCAATAGTGTGCTATGTACGAAGACGTAATCAAACGATGACATATCGAGCAGCATACTTGCTAAACAGAAAAACTGTGTCGTCTAGAAAAGTCTATTCCGCTTAGAAGTGTGCCAATAGTTTCGAGTAAGGATGCTTCATCACATCTGATGCTTGCTGCCACATCTGCAAATATGAAACATTTCCTTTAACCAGTATCTCCTCACAAATTGAGGGTCGATTATTTTCCGCAAGCTTCCAACTCGTAACATCAAACCATCATAAGCTCAAAGTCTTTCTTTCTTACATAAACCTCATACTCGTGCCAAAGCGCTGGTAACATTGATTACTAAGACGAGCATTCTGGCAATCCGTCCGTTCACCAGCCCTTGCCTTCTCTGTCCTAGGCATCGACGCGTTTATTAAGCTCGTGCGCGTTCAGTTTCACTCTTAGGTGCAGGCAATCCCTGGCAGTGCACGTGATACATTTCCCCTAACCTTTCCACGGAAAATGTGCCATGTGCAATCCTGTCTAGTCTGCTCATCTCAGACCACGTCGTTGTGCACAAAACTGTCTTTTTGCGTCTGGAACCACCTGAACGACAAACGATACCTATTTCCGGCGATCTTATCGTACCGTCGTATTAAGACGTTTTATGCGTATTACACCCAGTTGTAAGCTATTCCCAAAACTGCAGACTCACATGGACCTCAAATTAGACTTCATTCTTCTGTAAAGCAATCTCTTATCGGTCGATTTTCTAATTGCATGCTTTTAATCCTCGACATTGGGAACGCAAGCTTAAGTGGCCGCCAAAATCCATGTCCGTGAAGTTAGCGATTTATTCAGCGGTTTATTCAGCGACGAGCTCCGATTTCTCTGAAAGAGAGCTTAAGGTGAATTATGGTACGAGAACATTGAAAATGACCTTCATTATGCAATATCACGTGACCTTTGAGGTAAAAAGCAGGCCCAAAGGACGGGAAACCCGATATCACCCAAAAATTACCGGCCGATTTACAAGTTGCAGGCATCAAAATATTGACAAGTGCAAGAGCTAGCGTATATAAAAAATCCTGACCTCTCAAGGCCACCCTTCAAGGTCAAACGCGGGCTAACTAGCGTCCGTCAAAAAGTCTTGACCTCTCATGGCCATCCTTCAAGGTCAAACGCGGGCTCAAACCACGGGGAACTCGATATCACTCAAAACTTACCGGCTGATCTTAACCTTGCAAACATCAGAATATACGCCACAGAAAAATCTAGCGTCCGTCAAACTAGTTCCGTTTGTTGAGCCCGCGTTTGACCTTGAAGGATGACCTTGAGAGGTAATTATTTACAGACGCTAGTCTTTTCTGCGTTGGATGTTCCGCTATTTGGAAATTTTTAATCGGCCTGTAATGTTTGGGTGATATGGAGTTTCCCATCCTTTGAGCCTGGACTTGACCTTGAATGATGACCTTGAGAGGTCAGAACTTTTTCACGTACGCATTCTGATGTTCGCAAATTTAAAATGGACCGGTAGCTTCGGGTGATATTGAGTTCCCCGGCTTTTAAGTCCGTGTCTGACCTTGAAGAGTGACACTGAGAACTGCAAATTTTGTGACGGACGCTAGTTCTTTTTGTGTTGAATGTTCTGACGCTTGCAAGTTTAAAACCGGCCGGTGAGTTTTGGGTGGTATTGAGTTCCCCGTCCCGTGGACCCACGTTTGACATTGAACGGTCACTTAAAAAGTCAGGATTTTTTGACGGATACCAGTTCTTCCTATGGTCAATATTCTGATGTTTGCAAGTTTAAAATCGACCGGTAATTTTTGCATAATATTGAGTTCCCCGTCGTTTGAGCCCATGTTTGACCTTGAAGAGTGACTTTGAGTGGTCAATACTTTTTGACGGACGCCAGTTCTATTTATGGGAATATTATGTCTGCAAGCTTAAAATCGACCGGTAACTTTTGGGTGATATTAAGTTCCCCGTCCTTCGAGCCCGCGTTTGACCTTGAAGGGTGACCTTGAGAGGTCAGGACGTTTTGACGGACGCTAGCTTTTGCTTGCGAATGTTTTGGTGCTTGCAGTTTACAAATCGGCAGATAATTTTTTGATGATAGTGTTTTCCCTGTCCTTTGACCTAGCTTTTGACCTCTAAGGTCACATGATGCCGCAAAATAAAGGCCATGTTCGATCTTCTCGTGTCATAACTTACTATGAGAAGTTTTCAGAGAAATCAAAACTCGTGGCTGAATAAATCGCCAACTTCACGGACATCCGAAGTTCGGGGACTAATCAGGTTTTCCGGCTCGGTTACTGGTTGAGCACGGCTCGACCCAACGCTGAACTTTCGGCTGAACGTTATCGGTTGAACTTGCCCCCTCCCCGCCAACGATTTGAAAAAGTGAATCCCCTGCCTGTAGAGTGTCCATCCCATACGACTACACGATTTATTAACAGACCTCCTAAACTTTGCTTAAGTTGCCCATGAACCGAAAGACGTCAATTGGCGCGACTCATCCAAATTTAAATGGATTATTGTGCGCTAAATTTTGGCAATTCCAGTGACGTTTCATTGTATTCGCTTGGATTCGGCTCCTACGTGC